AGGAAGCCACAAGTACATATTTCCTGGAATACCGGCCAACACAATATCTAATCCACATGCCACTTAAGCATGGGAAGGGAACCTCAGCATTTCACAAGTTTGTACGTGGTTTCCTAGTTTTGGGTGGGGAGACCCCACCTGGGAAGGATCTGGGTTCTCTGGAGGCCTCTCCCCTGGCCTATGTCTTCAGTCCAAGTAATCACTTAGATATAGGCTTTAATAAATATGTCTGAGAACTGTCCTTATGTTCGGTAAATATTGGATTAGCTTTTCAGTGACCAGGCTCTTGAAAAGGCTCAAGCAATCCACACCAGGTCTCAGCTAAGCTTAACGGTCAATAGGTAAGAAAGATAAGTGATTTTTCCTGGCTGGGGTATGGTGGGGAGTGTTGAGAAGGGAGTTCCTACTCTTTTCCAGTCATTTGATTCTACTAAATATGACAGTAGTACTAATTAGGAAAAGAAGGAGTGCTCAAATTTTGGATTAGCTGTAATTCCCACTATCTCTGTGTGCTCCTTACGTCTGAGTCTTTTTGCCCAAAGGAAGATTCCTGTGGGTTCTGTTTTTATTTCCACAGCGCTTAGCAAAAACTCTGTTTACCACATATTTTTTGTTTGGGGTTGCTTATGGGAGTGTTCAACCCAGTTATTGGGGAGACACATGGCTGAAGAGATCTCCCACTGCCCCTTGCTAAATCAGACTGTTTAGGTGAGGCAAAAACGGGCAAATTCCTTGGAAGCTTTGCTCTACCTCGCTGTTACTGAATTTTGCTAACAAAGCAATGCAGGAAACATCAAGAGGAAGTCCCTCTCTCCTTTAACATGGAGTGACGAGGGAAGATGGGATGGTAAAAGAAGTTTCTGAACTGGTTTTCCATCACACCAAGATGCCAGACGGATCTCTGCACATAATTAGAATGACATGAGGGTGGTATCCGAATGGGGCGAAGCCTACGTGGCTCAGAACCAGCTAGGTCCGAGATCCAACTAGGCCCAGGACTGAGGGCACGTTGGCTTCTCCAACCCTTTCCTGAAATGCGTGCAAAGCCTAGTGCGCCTGAGCCTCAGGATGAGACCGGAACAGGAACCAGGAGACTGGATTTTCATCTACACTAGAGCCGAGAGGCCCAAGAGCGAGGAGCATTCCCCAGGCCCTGGACAACCAATTTCCTTCTGAGCCCGGCATAGTCCTAAGGCTTCGACGCTGGGCTCCCAGGCAAAAGCAGCCTAGCTGCCAGCTCCGACGAACCTGAGCAAGTAAAATGCGCGCAGTGAGCCAAAACACTGAAGACCTGAGCACTAGAGTTACAGCCGATAAGGGAGTGGGGGGGTGAGGGAGTGGGGGGAGGGGAGAAAAGCAGAGAGACCTAGCTTTCAGTGTGTCACGGGGCCTAGGCGGGGCAAGCGCGCTCTGAATCCATCAAAGACAGGGGTGGCTTTTTTCCCCTCCTCCAACCTCCTCCCCAATAGATATAGCACGAATTTTTAATGCGTCTTCCTTTCACAGACAACAATAAAGGGTTTGAAAGCCGGACACAATTTGGGTTTTGTGCGGATCCCTCCTCGCGCTCCCTCGGCCCAGCTGGCCATATGGAATCCAGCATGGAGCCCGAGGATGACAAAGGGACCCAGTGACAGGCCCAACAAAACCCCAAGGAGACTTCTGCCTGACTCCGGGATTCACTGCCCGCGATAAGCGCGCTGAATGGTGCTGGGTGGATGGGGGGAGGGTGGGAGGGTGGGCCCCTTCTCCCTCTTTCCCTCTCTCGGTCCCCTGAGATCCATTCTCTGTCCTTTTTTAATATGCACGCCTCTAACATCCCCAGCTCCCAGCTCTCCCATTGTGCCGTTTTGTGCGTTCCATTGTAGATTGGGCGAAGATAGACTGCCTAAACGGACCCGGCGCCGGGTGCGCTCCCAGGGCACTGGGGTTAGGGCCACACAGGGCTCCGCGGGCGCTTTTATTGACTCCAGGGGGATCCGAGGACAGAGAGAGGCGGGCGCCGGGTCCACCTCCCTGCCGCTTAGCGCACACCCAGACTGCTGGCTTGCGGGCTTGGCCACTGCCCGAAACGCACACACAGTGGAAACCTGCGAGAATTTGGACTTTCCACACCTTCTCCTTCCTGGAAGCCTGGGAGTTCCAATGATCCATCTTGGCCCCTGCAGCCCTGGGCGAAGAATGTAGTCTTGGGGGCTGTGCCTCAGGTCTCCTGACAAATCCACTCCAAGAGGCTCTGAGCTCTCCCTCCCCTCCCAGTGGATTCTTAGGTTACAGGGAAGTTATGAGTGGGATGCTGAGTGGTTGGTATCAGGACAAATTGGGCTTTGGATTATTGTACAACAAGCAACTAGGGGTGAATTCTGTTGGCATTTACAAAGAGCAAGAACAGTTTCCAAACTAGTGTGGGGAACAAAAGGAGACTTTTCAGCATGTAGGAAAACTTGGATGAACCCATATGAGCCTGGAGATGGGAAAGAACATTTAGGAGCGTATTAGAAACACACCCGAGCCCTCAATTATCCAGGGCTAGTGCACAACTTGGGAATAACGTGCAATCACCTCCCTTGGTGTGCAACGCTGAGAGCTATTGATGCGTAGATTTGGTCACACGGATATTCATGTTTGCTTTAGATATTGAATTAAATCTGACCATCAACTAGGGGGAGGGATAAAGTCAGCTGGGACCGCTCTTTTTGCTCAGCCTCCTCGCCGGCTCCCCCATCCCTATCCATCCCCACCCCTGCCCCATCCGTCTGCAAAAGTAAAGCTGGGGAAGGAAGGAGAGGTACACTTTCCTAATGGGGCAGACTTTCAATAAGGAGACGTCTCTGAGCGCCCGTTTGTCTTTGAGCTACAGAACCCCGGGTATTTTCAGAAACCTATGTAAAATAGGAGAGAGAGACGCCCCCTTCTCCCAAGTCCGCACGACCCCAGAGACGCTCCCCCGAGTGGGCAAGAGTGCACCAGTATCTGCTAAGGCGATCTCCCTGCAACAAGGGTGGGATAGAATCAGCTGTCTACCAGAAAAGGACCATCGCGCCCTCCCTTGGCGGAACCTGGGGGCTGTTTTCTCACTTCACGCTACTCTAACCCCAGCTTTGGAGGTCGGAACTCACCACCCCATCTTCAAACCCCCTACTTTTCAGCAAACAATCCACCCGGCTTCACGCCAAAAAGGTGGTCTGGGGGACTGCACGCAGCCAAATGCTAGGAGATATCGAAGATGAAGATCCCGTCCCATGGCAGGGGAATGGACCCCCGGAAAGGTTGGGTGCGGAAAGGAGGAGGGAGCCTCCGTTAGCTTGAATTGTCACTGACTGCCGCTCCCTGACTCTTACAGGCCAAATTGCCAACAGAAGGAACAGCACCCACTGCCACCCCGGCGCCCCTCTTTAAAGCCAAAGCCTAGAGCTTCTCAAAACCCACAACCCGCCCCTGAGCCCAGATCTAGGAGCAGCCTCCTAGGCCGCCTCAGGTCCGCGGATTTTGAAAAGGGGGTGGGGAATAGAGAGAAAGCGGACCAGTCTCAGCCTCAGCGCCACCGCACCCCCTCCCCGCCCCCGCCCCTGGACTTCTTAGCGCGAGGTAAATCAAATGCAACAAAGTGAAAGTCATCGAGTGTAGTGGCTTCAACAGCTTCTCCGCCTGAAGGAGCCACTCGTAGATTTGGGCGAGCAAGGGGGGCTTGCTCCCTCGCCTTTGCTTTCTCTAAAGTCACTTTTTCTGCCAAAGCCAGAACGCCGCCGCCCCGGATTCATACAGCACACGAGGCCGAGAGAGAGGGACCGGTGAAGGTGGGCGACCCTGGGTTTCGGGTCGACAGCTCGCAGGCTTGAGGCCAACTGCTCGCTCCCTGGCCAAGGGTCAGCGATGCGGAGCCCTAACCTCCCTCCCGGGTCACGCTGGTCGGGGAGCTCTCCTGAGTCCAGGGCAACCCTAGTCTCGTTTCACGCCCAGAGGAGAGGCATGGGTAAGAGAGCTGCAAGTGGTTTGGCCCGGGGCCTTGTCCAAAGCCTAGGCCCGACGCAGGGCAACAAAGTATGACAAACGGGAAGGCCGGGCTTGTTTTTTTAAACACAGGATTTTTATTAAAATTCTTATTTAAAAAAAAATCGAAAGCTTTCAGCGCCCGGCGCTCTTAGGGAACCTCGGGGAACCACTGAGCTCCAAGTTCCAGGGCTCAGGACTCAGACGATGGGGCATGGGGCTTCACGCCTATACATTTTTCCTTTTTTATATTTGAGAAATGTTTACACTGAACAAAATAAAAAAGAAAATAAGGAAACAGAGGTAACCGAACATAAGCAAACCAAAACAAACCACAGAGAAAGGAGTTGGGCCTTTGGGGAGAACAGGTCCATCTCGAACGAAGGTCATTTTGGCAACAATCACCACCAATATTTACAACGAAAAGCGAAATCTACCACCAGTTGTCGGAAAGTTTACATGGCCATAAATATTTAGCATTTTCTTATAAAAAGGAGAAAAATTCTCTGTATTTTAAAGTGTTCTCCACTTGCTTTAGAAGAGGACGGTTGACAATATCGCTACTGACAAACATATTTTACAAAATTCACAAAAGCAGGGGGAGGGGAAGGGGAGCTGGTCCTTTTCTCCTTCCCGAGTTAGGACGTTAACGTTGGGACGATTTGGTCCCCTCCCCCCCGCCCCCCCGGGGAGAGGCAAAGAAGGGAAGCTGCGCAAAAACATTCTGTAAACACCACTTATAGTTCAGCCCTCTCCAAAGGTTCAAAAGCAGAGACGGACGGGGCAGAGCAAGGTGGATGGAATCTGCCACTCCAAGGAGGCGCAGGCAACTTCCCGGGGCCTCCTCAATGGAGCCGAGTCAACTAGACTCCACGATAATAATAATAATAATAACAACCACCACCACCACCACCACCACCACCTTAAGGACCAAGTCCTCGCCGCCGCCGCCGCTGCCGCCGCCGGGGTGGAGCTTGGGCCGGGGGCCACCAGTTTCAGAGGGGCGGCGCTCACCAAGTCCATTGCTGGGCCTGGACCAGGGGGTGTGCTGTCGGGTACTGGGGAGTGCCAGCCGAGCTGTACTGGGCGTTGTACTGCATGTGCTGCAGAGACTGAGCGCTGTAAGCCGAAAAGGGGATGCCCGCCTGGAAGGTGGCGGCTGCCAAGTCCTGGGCTTTGAGCGCGTGGCACGGTTTGCCGTCCCTGACCAAAACAGGCACTGCCACGCGGCGTGGCGAGGGCAGGGGCGTCACCTCCATACCTTTCTCGGCCCGGGCGCGCTTCATCTTGTATCGGTGGTTCTGGAACCATATCTTAACTTGCGTGGGTGTGAGGCGGATGAGGCTGGCCAGGTGCTCGCGCTCTGGCGCGGACAGGTATCGCTGCTGCCGGAAGCGCCGCTCCAGCTCGTAGGTTTGCGCTTTAGAGAAGAGCACCCGCCGCTTCCGCTTTTTGCCCGCGTCCCCCCCGCCGCCCGGGGTTTCCTTGTCATTGTCCGGTGACTCGTCCGCCGAAGGCTCCGGAGACTTGGAGCTCGAGTCCTGGGGCGCCGCCCCGGCCGCCAGCCCGTGAACTGCGGAAGAGAGAAGCACATCAGGCTCCTGGAGGCAACGCGCGGATGGGCCAAACCCTGCGCACCCGGATCCTCCTTGCGCCCTAGGCCCTCCGCGCACCGCAGCCAGACCCCACTGCCTTCGCCTTGCCCCCCTACTCTCCCTGCTCCACGCCTGACGAACCATCGACGTCCACCAGGCGAAAGGGGAGAAGCAGCAGGAGTGGGGATTCGGGGCTTGTGCTTCTAGGGGTTTGCACAGTCTGGGTGCATATTGGAAGGAGTGGCGTGCCTAGATCATCGCGGGTTAAGGGATCCTGCCCCCTTAAGCAATTTTCTTTCCGGAGAGACGTGGGCAGATTTAAAAAAACAAAAAACAAAAAACAACCCACAATCCGGGCATTGATCGGCTCGATCACTTAAGGCAGGTTTTGGGGGGCTTTCTTTTTTGTTTTTGGACTTTTCCCACACCTTCCGCCCCACACAAAGCATCCTCTGTGTTCGGTCGGGAGGCAGGGTGAACTATTTATACCTGAACCACCAGAAACCTCTCCCACCCTCGGACCCTGAGGCTTGCTGTCTTGCTCCACTGCTCTTGGCCACACTCTCTCGGTTGTATGGGTAAGGGTAGGGGTGGCGGGGGGGGGGGTGCGGCTACAGCAGGAGCCATCAGTCTCGGTTGACTTCTGTAACCTGCCTTGAGAGGTATCCACCTGCCTTGGGAGATATTCCCCTCCCCTGCTCTTCTTAATTTCTCTTTGAAAAAAAATATCCGAGACCAAGTCCTTTTACAGGACTAGAAGCGCTTGAAGAGAAGAGTTAAACCATCCTAAACAAGTGTTAAAAATCTTTGCAGAAGCGCAGGGTGAGGGATCCGGGCTTCAACGGCTTCTTCCCCTTCCTCCCCACTGCGTCCAACGCTGCTGCCGCCGGAGTAGAGGCGGCCACGACCAAGACAGCCAAGTTTCGCTACTTACGGGAATACTGGAGGCCCTCGGTGCTGGCCAGCCAGCGCGTATATGGGTTGTCGCTGCTGTCGTAGAAAGGATTCTTCAGGGGCAGGCTCTGCACTGTGTCCAGGGCGCCCTGCCCCAGCGGCCCGGCCCTCTTGGCGGGCTCTGGTCCCTCGCTCTCTTCCTCCGGCCCTTCGGCCACAGAGCCTTCCTCATCGTTGGTGTCCGGCAGGTCCAAGATATCCTTGACCGAAAACCCCGTCTTTGTGTTGGTCAGCGACATGGCTCGGGACCCCAGAATTTATGCCTCAAAGTTGTAGCTTCACTTGGTCAATTCTTGGCTCTCCTCAGGTGGGACGGGGAGGGGATACTGGGGGGAGGGGTTGGGGGAGGGGAGGGGATACGGGGGATGGGCTTTAACTACTGATATAATTATTTTAAAAAAGAGAAAAAAACTCTGGAGAAGGGGAGGAGAAAAAGCCCAACGCAGCGCCTGTGTCTTCTCTGAAAGGACGCGGAAATGGACTCAGGGAGCTGGGTGGCCTGAGTGCCGGGCCCTAGTTTGTAACTCCAGGAGGGGTGCCAAGGCGGCGTCAGCTCAGGCTCCGGCGGCCGCTGGGCGCGCGGTAGCGGCTGGTGGCAGGATAAAATGGGCCATTGCCTCAGCGATCAGTCCATATAAGGCTGGGCTCCACTCGCGAACCTGGGAAGAGGGGGAGAAGGGGGGAGAAAGAGAGGGAGGGAAACAGAGAAGGAGGGAGGGAGGGGGAGCGAGTGAGGGAGCGAGAGAAGGGTGGAAAAAAGGGGGGAGTAAGACATTAAAACCCAAAGATTGGACACGTGTGGGCGGGTCTTGGAAGTCAAGTGGATGAAGACAGTATTTGTAGATTTGAAATTGTGGGTTTTGGGGAGCTCCACGCTCCCAGCCAACGGCCCTCTAGAGCAAGATGAGAGGTGTAACGTGTCAATTAATTGCAAAGACCGGGCGAACCTTTTTTTTTTTTTTTTTAACCCAGTATTTACATACAAAGGACCACCGCGTCGCTCGCGAGTGCACGCACTTGAAAGAGCCGTTTTAACGAATTGCATCTTTAAAAAAGCGGGGGAGGGAGAAAAAACAAAACAGAAACCAGGAGGAGGAAAAAAAATCCTCATAACGTTCACAGGTTCCTATCTCCCCACCCCTGTGCACCCGCCCCCAGCAAGCCGGAAAATTGGCAATTTGTGGAGCCTTTGGAAAAAGGGGAGGAGGCTCAGGCTGAGCCGCGGAAATCTCTCCTTCCCATCGCTCGTGGCTCCCTAAACAAGATCCGGTTCAAATGGCAATAGCCCAACTTCTGTAAGCCTCCTAGGTCAATATTTTGGTTGAGGCTTAAGGATGAGTATTAGAAATGACAAGGCAACTAATTGATTCTAGTTAACGCCGAAAGCGCCCGAAACTGAGAAGAGGGATCGGCTGGGGCTGGCAGAGGCCACCTCCAGGCGACACCCCCCCTACGCACACCCTTTATTTGCTAAAGACTTATTTATTTCCCTCACTCCGCCTCCCTCTCCATCTCTTTGCGCCGGCGGAGGGCTGCGCAGTTCACTTGCGGCTTTGCCAGTGGCCCCAGGAGGGCTTCTGTGGGGTGGGGGTGGGGTATTCTAACTTAGGCGGGGTTGGGACCCGGGCCGCGAAGCCAGGGGGATCCGCTGGCCTTGTTCTCCGCATGGGAGGGGGTAAGGCAGACTGCGCTGCAACCTTCCTACCCCCTATTATGTCACTCTCTCCAGCCCCTCCCTCTTCGGCCTCCAGCAGTGGTGGAGAGCGGAAAGGGAGTGGAGGTGGTGGAACCAGGGAATGGGGGACCAGAGGCCCTGTCTCCAGATTGGGTGAGGACACCGAAAGCCGCAGAGATGGGGGTCTCAGGTCAGGCGGATAATGATGCGTTTTTATCTTTCAAGCGAGTCCTTTAATTTTGTCTCCTTTTGGATGCCCCAAGGACGCATTCCGAGTACGCGATTCAGGCTCCCCATTCTCGTTAGGTGAGGGTAAAGTTCCCAACCTCTCGCCAGCCTCGGAACAGAACTTTCCTGGTACAGCACCTCTTCTTTGGTGTCGCATTTCTTGCACCTCCGTCCAGTTTTGGGGGAATGCTGGGGGGCGGTTGTTACCTAGTGTGTGTCCACATCCTACAGAGCTCCAGGAAGGAGCTTTGCCTGGAGGCAAGAGGGACTAGACAAGGCCGCGCGCTGGAGTCCGTGTCTTGCCTCCCTCAACCCGTAGCCCCAGCCGCCCCAGCACCCGCCCTGCTGAACTTGAGGGCTCCGCGTCCTTCTCCCGTGCACCTGCGGTTGCTGCTGCGCCCCTGTCGCCACTGGGTTGCCAGCTCCGGGCGAGGGTGCCTCTGCCTGCGCCGCTTGGTGTCTTCAGCCCGCGCTGCTTCTCCTCTAGTATGTGACGTGGGTGACAAAGGCCCAGGTTAGAGCGAGCTCCTCGTTGGCGCGTCCTGGGTGGTCGGACCCCGGCAAACACAAATACAAACCGATTGCTAAGCTGCGGACAATGAGCGAAATGTAGACAAATGTCCCGCTCCCGTTGGAAGCCTTTGTTCCGGCTCGGTTTTTGCATTTATTTCAGTGGTGAAATAATACATGATTGACGCTCTCTTTCAATGTGTCCTAACTGTTTGGAATAAATCTAAGGTTGTTCCTAGTTGTCATGGCATTCAACCCTTTTCAATGGACTATCTCTTCATTCATTTCTGAATCCGTCCACAATATTAAGGAAACCCCTTCATGTCGGCGCTCCCCATTCCTCTTTTTCTCTCCCTACTTTTTCTTTGCTGTGTTCCCCCTCCTTCCTTCCTCCCCCAAAAGAATTAGAACTGTTTTGAATCGTGTTCCTCGAACCCATTACTTTTCATGCTTTTTTTCTTTCTCCAATCTTTCTCAATGTCCTTCCTCCTTGTCTCCCCTTCCCCCACTTTCACGTGGGAGCTCTCTGCCCTGTCCAGTCGGAGGAGGGAAGTTGGTTCTTCAGGAGTTGGGGGAGGGAGTTGGAATCAGGGGTGGGTGGGCCTGCCCCAGCCATTGTTACTCAGCTGCTGAATAAATAACTCACCAGAAAAAAGTTCTTCAATCCAAGCTGCAGAAAGATTCTCGTACTGTTCCTCCTCTTACTCCTCTGTCCTGGGGGTGGGGGTGGGTGGAGGGAAGGTTGTCTCTTGATGACCAGAGCAGGCTCCAGGACTGGGGAAGGGCCAGGTCAGTTCTTCGGTTGCCTGGAAAATGGCCTTTTGGTGAGAGGTGTCCCTATTACACATCCTCTGAGCCATCACTGGGAAGAGGAGTCACCTCCCCTCCCCCGCCTCCACAACGCCTTCCAGGGAGTCTGCTCATTTCTTCACCTTGGAACCACCAGGTTCCATTTAGTTCCCAGCTTTTCCTTCCCTTCCCTCCAACGTAGTGGGCATTTTTCCTTGGATCTAATCAGCACTACCACTGTTGATCAAGCCCCCACTTAGGAGGCTGTACCTCAGAGTACCTGAGAGACAACCGTTTCCTGTGGCAATCCTGGCTCATGGGAATTGATCCTGGAGAGGGAGTGCTGACAATGGAGCCTTGAAAAGGAGGGCTCCTTCACCACCACCTTCACCTACTCCTTGGCCTCAACCAATTCAAGACCTTCCTTGCTGCAGGCCGCATGTTCCCCTTCCGGGAGCACTTTCAGGGCCACACTTCTCTTTCCCGCACAGGCCGTCGCCTGGATGTATGCTCCCTAATAACCCTGATCCAGCCTGTGCCCTCGTCCTTTTTTTCTTCTCTTGGCTGTGAGACAGTGCGGCAAGGAGAGAGCTGGAGGTAGCCTCTGCCTTGCATCCTGATGCTGCACTTGGCGCCTTGTCGGATCCGCTGCATTCAGTGTTTCTCTCCCGGGGCTTCAAGAGTTCACTTTCCCCAACGCTTCTTCGCCCCTGCAGTTCCTGCATCCGCTTCCAAAGCGCTGAGATATATAATTGAAATGGTGCAGGAAGGCCGTAGGGAGGCTCATAATTGAAGGGAGAGAAACTCGGCTTGTTAAAAGAAGATCATAAAATGCAAGTCCCCCAGGAGTAGGCTGTGGACGCTGGGAGGTGGGTCGGGACCAGCTGTCGGCTGAGGGCCGGTCCGGTGCCCAAAGCACGCTCCAGGGCCTTCTGGATTTCCTGCAGCCAGAAGAGAGAGGTCCAGGCACCAAACACACCTTTCCACACAAATTAAGCAGGGGATTGCATTCCGAGGACTTCCCAAGAGGTTCCTGTCAGCACCACATCCCCGGATCTTCGGTTTAGCGAGATTCGGCACACCCAAGCAGGCTGAGAGAACCCAGTCCTGCGCCCCTACCCCTTGTCCAGAGCACCTGCCATCCCCACTGTGTCATTTCTGAACATATCAGTGTCCCCTTGCACTATAGTTTCTGCTCTACTTGGATATGATCTAGTCTGCCCATCTCAAATTCTTTAGTACATTCTTTCCAGGTTCCATCTGGTAGGGAGAAGACAACATCCTCCAGTTCCATCAGGTCTGGGTATGGGCTTTGGGCTCTTGGCTGGCATTAGGGGAGCTAGTGAACGCTCAGCTCTGAGTTTGTCTGTGGCAAACTTGGGGACGAAATTAAGACTGGGGCTGGAAGTTCGATGACGGTATGATCTAGGCCGCAGGGAGACAGGCTTGGGTCTCTTTAGTGTGTGAACTCCACCTATCACCCTTGCCAGGGTCACCTGAGCAGTCAGAGGCCCCATGCCCCTGGTCTTTATTCCCAGCGTTGGGGCTCCAGTTTCCTTACAAATTTCGAGCTCTGTATTCCTTCCCAGGTGTAGGATGGGAGCAAAGGGAGTTGCAGGCCCCGAGGGGAGGTGGGAGGGGGGAGAAAGAAAGTCTTTTGGGAGGCTCCCTCAGGCCACAAAAACTGTGTTTTTTTGCCTTTCAGGGCTCCAAAGATACTGAAGCATAGGCGGCTGGAGAGGGCGGCAGGGGCACTGAACAAACGACGGAGGCCCAGGAGGGGAGGTGAATGTACACAGGCTAAGTGTTCCCACTCGAGGACAAGTGGCCCTCCAAGTCGGCTCAGTGTTTACCTGTTTACTTTCCCAGGTAGCTCAAACATGAGAGCCTTTTCGGAGCTCCGGAGCCTGGGGGCTGCCCTGGTGTGCCCCGCATTCCCAATTCCTCACTTTCCCACACCCGGGCTTTATGCCCCCTGTTGGTGGAAGGGCGAGGCATAAACAGCAGCGAATGAGGCAGAAAGGAAGACACTTTTGG